AGTGGGAGGTGGAAAAGGGAAAAAGTGCGAGAGTGGAACAGTGGAACAGTGGGAGGTGGAACAATGGAGAGTGGAACAGTGGAACAGTGGAAAGTGGGGGTGGAACATGGGGAGTGGAACATGGGAGCGTGGAACAGGGAACAGTGGAACGTGAAAAGTATGAGAATGGGAAAAGTGGAAAAGGGGGAAAAATGGAACAGTGGGAGAGGGAACTTTGGGGGGTGGAAAGTGGAACAGTGGGAGAGAGGAAAAAGTGGAACGGGGGGAAGTGGAACGTGGAAAATGGGGAAATGAACAAAGGGGGAGCCTAACAGTGGAACGGGGGGGGAAAATGGGAAAAGTGGAAAGGGGGGAAGGGAACAGTGGAACAGTGGGAGAGTGGAACAGTGGAACAGTGGGGAAAGTTGGGAACAGTGGAACAGTGGGAGGTGGAACAGTGGAACAGTTTGGGCAGTGGGAGAGTGGAACAGTGGGAGAGTCTAACAGTGGGAGAATGGAACAGTGGAACAGTGGGAGAGTGGAACAGTGGAACATTAGGAGAGTGGAACAGTGGAACAGTGGGAGAGTGGAACAGTGGAACAGTGGGAGAGTGGAACAGTGGAACAGTGGGAGAGTGGGAGAGTGGGAGAGTGGAAGAGTGGAACAGTGAAACAGTGGAACAGTGAAACAGTGGAAAAGTGGAACAGTGTGAGAATGGGAGAGTGGAACAGTGGGGAGGGGAGAAACAGTGGAACAGTGGGAGAGTGGAACAGTGAAACAGTGGGAGAGTGGAACAGTGGGAGAGTGGAACAGTGGAACAGTGGGAGAGTGGAACAGTGGGAGAGTGGAACAGTGGAACAGTGGGAGATTGGAACAGTGGAACAGTGGGAGAGTGGAACAGTGGAATAGTATAAAAGTGGAAAAGTGGAACAGTGGAAGAGTGGGAGAGTGGAACAGTGGAACAGTGGGAGAGAGGAACTGTGGGAGAGTGGAACAGTATAACAGTGGAACAGTGGGGAGGTGGAAAAAGTGGAAAAGTGGAAACAGTGGGAGAGTGGAAAAAAGTGGGAGAGTAGAACAGTGGAAAAAAAAGTGGGGGGAGTGGAACAGTGGAACAGTGGAACAGGGAACAGTGGGAGAGGAGGAATAGTGAGAGGAATGGAACAGTGGAACAGTGGGAGAGCAGAACAGTGGAACAGTGGGAGAGTGGAACAATGGGAGACTGGAACAGTGGAACAGTTGAACAGTGGGAGAGTGGAATAGTTGGTATTGGAATAGTGAGAGTGAAAAGTGGAACGTGGAACAGTGGAGAGTGGCAGAGTGGAGCAGTGGAACAGTGGGAGAGTGGAACAGTGGGAGAGTGGAACAGTGGCAGAATGGAACAGTGGAACAGTGGGAGAGTGGAACAGTGGAACATTAGGAGAGTGGAACAGTGGAACAGTGGGAGAGTGGAACAGTGGAACAGTGGTAGAGTGGAACAGTGGATCAGTGGAATAATGGAATAGTGGAACAGTGGAACAGTGGTAGAGTGGAACAGTGGAACAATGGGAGAGTGAAACAGTGGAATAATGGAATAGAGGAACCGTGGAACAGTAGGAGAGTGGACAGTGGAAACAGTGGGAGAGTAAAAGTGGAACAGTGGGAGAGTAGAACAGTGTAACAGTGGGAGAGTGGAACAATGGAAAAGTGGAACAGTGGAACAGTTGAACAGTGGGGGAGAGTGGAAAGGTGGGAGGTGGAAAAAGTGGGAGAGTGGAACGTGGCAGGAATGGAACAGTGGAACAGTGGGAGAGTGGAACAGTGGAAAAATTAGGAGAGTGGAACGTGGGGGAGTTTGGGAAAGTGGGAAAAGTGGTAGAGTGGAAAAAGTTGGAACAGTGGAAAAATGGAATAGTGGAACAGTGGTAGAGTGGAACAGTGGGAGAGTGGAACAGTGGAAACAGTGGGAGAGTGGGAACAGTGGGAGAGTGGAACAGTGGAACAGTGGAATCAATGGGAGAGTGGACAGTGGGAGAGTTGGAACAGTGGGGAGAGGAAACAGTGGGAGAGGAGGAACAGTGTGTGGAACAGTGGGAGAGTGGAACAGGGGGTGAGTGGATCAGTGGAACAGGTTGAACATTGGAGGAGTGGAACAGTTGGGAGAGGAGGTACAGTGGGAGAGTGGTCAGTGGAACAGTGGACTGTGGCGAGAGATGGAACAAGTGGAAACAGTGGAACTGTGGTAACAGTGGAAACAGTGGGAAGAGTGGAACAGTGGGGACGAGTGGGAACTGATGTAATCAGTGGGGATGGGAACTCAGTGGTAGAGGTGGATCTGTGGGAGAGAATGGAAGAGTGGTGGAACAGTGGGAGTGTGGTGGAACTGTGGAACATTGGAGAGTGGAACAGTGGAACAGGTGGGAGAGTGGACGTGGAACTGTGTGGGTCGAGTGGAAAAAGTGCGAACCCGTTGGAATAATGTATTAGTGGGAATAGTGGAACAGTGGGAGAGTGGAACAGTGGAACAGTGGGAGAGTAGAACAGTGGAACAGTGTGAGAGTGGAACAGTGGGAGAGTGGAACAGTGGGAGAGTGGAAAAGTGGAACAGTGGGAGAGTGGAACAGTTGATCAGTGGGATAGTAGAACAGTGGAACAGTGAGAAAGTGGAACAGTGGAAGAGTAGAACAGTGGAACAGTGGGAGAGTGGAACAGTGGAACAGCGGGAGAGTGGAGCAGTGGAACAGTGGAACAGCTGGAGAGTGGAACAGTGGAACAGTAGGAGAGTGGAACAGTGGGAGAGTGGAACAGTGAAACAGTGGAAAAGTGGAACAGTGGAACAGTGGGAGAGTGGAACAGTGGAACAGTGGAACAGTGGAACAGTGGGAGAGTGGAACAGTGGGACAGTGGAAAAGTGGAAAAGTGGAACAGTGGAACAGTGGTAGAGTGGAACAGTGGAACAGTGGGAGAGAGGAACAGTGGAACAGTGGGAGAGTGGAACAGTGGAACAGTGGAACAGTGGGAGAGTGGAACAGTGGAACAGTGGGAGAGTGGAACAGTGGAACAGTGGGAGAGTGAAACAATGGAACTGTGGAACAATGGGCCGGTGGAACAGTGGGAGAGTGGAACCTGGGTGTTTGAATTTTAGTGGATCTTATATAATACAGTAGAACCTGGATGTTTGAAGTTAAATGGTTCTTATATGACACAGTGGAACCTGGGTGTTTGAAGTTAAGTGGTTCCTATATGACACAGTGGAACCTTGTTGTTTGAAGTTAAGTGGTTCTTATATGACACAGTGGAACCTCTTTGTTTGAAGTTAAGTGGTTCTTATATGACACAGTGGAACCTGGGTGTTTGAAGTTAAGTGGTTCCTATATGACACAGTGGAACCTGTTGTTTGAAGTTAAGTGGTTCTTATATGACACAGTGGAACCTGGGTGTTTGAAGTTAAGTGGTTCCTATATGACACAGTTGAACCTGGTTGTTTGAAGTTAAGTGGTTCTTGTATGATACAGTGGAACCTGGGTGTTTGAAGCTAAGTGGTTCTTATATGACACAGTGGAACCTGGTTGTTTGAAGTTAAGTGGTTCCTATATGACACAGTGGAATCTGGTTGTTTGAAGTTAAGTGGTTCTTATACGACACAGTGGAACCTGGGTGTTTGAAGTTAAGTGGTTCTTAGGTGGTGTTGGAACTGCGAAAAGTTCAAATATAGGGGACAGTATTTCCCAGGCTTTAATTATCGGCCTGACACACTGGAGGATCTTGAACTGTCTTCTAAATGTCCCTAAGAACCAGGTCAGTGTTAGTGGTCGCTTCAACGCACTTTTAAAACTGGACTTTATGAGGGTTCTCTGTACTCTGTGAGATCAGTTTGGTGTTACCACTAATACGTCTAAAAGGACTATTATTATTATTATTATTATTATTATTATTATTATTATTATTATTATTATTATTATTATTATTATTATTATAATTAAGTAAATCTGTTTAGGTAGAGTTACACATAAATACAGTTACACAAATTACCATACACAGTAATATGTGTAAGTTACCCACCTAAATAATCCCCAAAAAATCAGACAAAGTGACGTAATTATGTTGGGGAGATTTGATTGATTTAATTTCTTGAAAAAAATATAGAAATTTAGCAGTTTATTGTCCCGGATAGTGAAAAATGTCGTTCACACATTCGTAGCACGTTATTCTTTAGGTATATATATCCTAAGAGGTATATATATCTCTCACATATTCATAGGACGTTATTGCAGGGGATAAATTTCGAGAGGTATATATCTCTCACAAATTTATAGTAAGTTATCGTAAGAGTGTATTTATTGAAAAGTATATATCAATGCATATATTATGGTATAAGCGTATTATACATTAAGGAACTCATTAATGGTGATATACAGGGGATATTCAGCCTTAATGACCCTCGTGAGGTTGAGAGACTTTAAACTCAATAAATCTGCTTTAGGTATATATGAGTCTGGAGATGTAGTAACAATACGACACTCTTCTTAACAGTTAATTTTGACACTCTTCTTAACAGTTAATTTTGACACTCTTCTTAACAGTTAATTTTGACACTCTTCTTAACAGTTAATTTTGACACTCTTCTTAACAGTTAATTTTACAACTGATCTTTTATATACCTTGAACGAAAATTGTCAAATTATGTTATCTATAATTATATATTATATATAAAATTAGTTGCTAACAATGATTAATTTTCAATGATAATAATAATAATAATAATAATAATAATAATAATAATAATAATAATAATGGTTTAATAATAATAATGATAATGGTGTAATAAAGGTTATTATTATTATTATTATTATTATTATTATTATTATTATTATTATTATTAAATATTATTATTATTATTAATTATTATTATTAATTTTATTAATTTAATTTCAATAATTTTAATTGCTATCATTAATAATAATAATCATCAAAATCAAAATTTATAAAAAACTATTATTATTATTATTAATGTTAAGAAAAAAAGGAGATTAAATAGTTACCATTATGATGGTGAGGAGAGGACCAGTAAACAACCACACTGATGACCCTGGCTTCAACCAACAACTGTAAACAATATAACTGTAAACAATACAAGTGTAAACAATATAACTGTAAACAATATAACTGTAAATAGTTACCATTGTAAACAATATAACTGTAAACAATATAACTGTAAACTATACAAGTGTAAACAATACAAGTGTAAACAATATAACTGCAAACAATATAACTGTAAACAATATAACTGTAAACAATACAACTGTAAACAATATAACTGTAAACAATACAACTGTAAACAATATAACTAAACAATATAACTGTAAACAATATAACTGTAAACAATATAACTAAACAATATAACTGTAAACAATATAACTGTAAACAATATAACTGTAAACAATACAACTGTAAACAATATAACTGTAAACAATACAAGTGTAAACAATATAACTGTAAACAATATAACTGTAAACAATATAACTGTAAACAATATAACTGTAAACAATATAACTGTAAACAATATAACTAAACAATATAACTGTAAACAATACAAGTGTAAACAATATAACTGTAAACAATATAACTGTAAACAATATAACTGTAAACAATATAACTGTAAACAATACAACTGTAAACAATATAACTGTAAACAATAAAACTAAACAATATAACTGTAAACAATATAACTGTAAACAATATAACTGTAAACAATATAACTGTAAACAATACAACTGTAAACAATATAACTGTAAACAATATAACTAAACAATATAACTGTAAACAATATAACTGTAAACAATACAACTGTAAACAATATAACTGTAAACAATACAACTGTAAACAATATAACTAAACAATATAACTGTAAACAATATAACTGTAAACAATACAAGTGTAAACAATACAAGTGTAAACAATATAACTGTAAACAATACAACTGTAAACAATACAAGTGTAAACAATACAAGTGTAAACAATATAACTGTAAACAATACAACTGTAAACAATATAACTGTAAACAATACAACTGTAAGCAATACAAGTGTAAACAATATAACTGTAAACAATACAACTGTAAAATATATAACTGTAAACAATACAACTGTAAACAATATAACTAAACAATATAACTGTAAACAATATAACTGTAAACAATATAACTGTAAACAATACAAGTGTAAACAATACAAGTGTAAACAATATAACTGTAAACAATATAACTGTAAACAATACAAGTGTAAACAATACAACTGTAAACAATACAACTGCAAACAATACAAGTGTAAACAATATAACTGTAAACAATACAACTGTAAACAATACAACTGTAAACAATACAACTGTAAACAATACAACTGTAAACAATATAACTGTAAACAATACAACTGTAAACAATACAACTGTAAACAATACAACTGTAAACAATACAAGTGTAAACAATACAAGTGTAAACAATATAACTGTAAACAATACAACTGTAAACAATACAACTGTAAACAATACAACTGTAAACAATACAACTGTAAACAATGCAACTGAAAAACAATACAAGTGTAAACAATACAACTGAAAAACATTCAATGTAAACAAGTGTAAAAAACAAGTGTAAACAATGCAAGTGTAAACAATAGAAGTTACGCAGCATTTTGTTCCAGACACAAGTATAGTCAATTAATATTGTAGCATTATCCTGAGTGTTTCGGGGGGTCAGCGCCCCCCGGGGCCCCAAACCCAGACCAGCCTCCTGGATGCGGGCCCTGACTGATCAAGCTGTTAGTGCCTGCCGCCTGTAGTTACTCCAACAGAGATATTTGTTGTTGCCGGCAGCGGCAACAGGAACCTTGTCTCTTTTTTATTCTCCGGGGCCCCCAGCAGCCCGTGTCCTAATAAAGACCCACATAACACTAACATGTGTGGATACCCAAAAATGATATAAAAACTGCGAAATCCCCCAAAAAGTTCACAAATTCCAAAACTAATGGGAACTCTTTTGCAACCCCTCCCCCGCTGCCACTGAAGTGATATCCCAACATTACCCAACACCCATCGCCTACTATTCCCCGAAGCCCGCCAATGGCAAGGGTAGAAAAATAAAAAAAAGACCCAGTAACCAGCTAAGGACTCTAACACAAAGGGAGAGCAGTAATAACACGGGGGGAAAAATTTTGGGGTACTGCCACCCAGGACACCCCCTCTACCCCCCGACATCCACAAACACGACAAAACACAAAAACATGGCCGCCGCTACAGCCCCAAGATAACCCCTTTCCCAGTTTTTGATGTCAAAAAGTCACCGACCCAGAAATAATAAACTCCTTATGATTCAAAACCCAAACGATCACCAAAACAACTCGGGGGAAAGCGGGAAACTAAAGGCTAACAATGCAGTTTACCTCAACAAGATCCTGCTCTAGAACATAAACTAGACACTCTAGAAAAACCCCCAAAAGAAACCCCCCAAAACCCCGGTCCCTAGACACCATATCATTTTTAAAAGACCAAGTCACCCTATTATACCAACATTACAGAGGAAAGATCAAGAGTGGACCAACAATTTTGCCAATGTCAAACCACTTCCAAGCCATAATGACCAACAGCAGCTATTGACGGTTGTTGTAGTTAACAGAAAAAACCTCCCCACCACATCACCCAAGAGCCTGCATGGAGACCACCCTGCGTTATCAAGGACCACCTTTGCCTTAACATACGTATGAGAATTAAAAGGGTTGCAAATGATGGGTATATGCAGGTAAAAAAAAAAAGTGCTGTTAAAATTTCCAAAAATAGCTTACAAAAAACAATCTAAAAACATCTATTTCTATGAAAACTGATGTTACTAATGAGTGCCTTACCAAAACGAGACAAAACCTTCTTTTTTTCGGCTAAGAAAACTGCGTATGCCCAAAAAAACCCCCGTGCTTTGTGAGGGGGGTGGAAAAAAAGAGTTAGGAAAAAGCCCACTGGAAAGAGAACAGTGGTCCCTCGTTATCGACGGTAATCCGTTTGGAAACCGGTTGATTATCGAAATGGCGATTTTACGAAACAATTTTCCCCCCTAAGAAATAATGTAAATTTAATTAATCCGTTTCTGACACCCAAAGTATTAAAACAAAAAATTTTTTTCAAAATATTATGTAGTAATTTAAAAAATACAATGGGAAATGATGAATGAAAAATTAACAGCATAAAACTTACCTTTATTGGAGATTCTTCTTAGTGTAGGGGAAATGGGGGGAGGAGGGAGAGTGGATTTTTTTTATATTTTGGGAAAGGGGAATTTCCCCTTCCACAACACCTCGGGTTTCCCTTTTGTTTTTTCTGGGGTTGCTTCTTTTCTCTGTTTCTTAATGCCCCCTAGGACCAGCTTGAGAGTCACTGGGTCTTTCTCCAAAATAACTGGCAGAGAGCTCTGTTTTTTGGCGTCTCTTTAAAACTTCCCAAAAGGGGCCAAGACTCTGCACTGAAACAAAGTTGCCGATGTTTTTCTTAAATTCAAGGGTATTTTTTCACATTCTTTCCCAAAAGGGTTTTTGGCTTTAGGAGCTTTTTTTTTGGGCCAGGGGTACTTATTTAGAAATTTAAAAATAAATTGCAACCCACTAAAAAAAATTTGAAATATTATAAAAATATTTCACGGAGCACTAGAGGACCGCCGTTTAACTGGTAAAAAAAATGGAAACACGGGCCCTGGGAAGGAAGGCTGAGGGGGGTCGAGGCCGCTTACCCTCGGCAACGGGGTTGGGACACGGGTCGAGCCGGGTCGAAAAAAGGGAATTTCGGTCAATTTCCGAGTCAATTTTTTGTCGAAAAAACCGGGGGGGGGCCCCTTTTCTGAAATGGCCCGACTTTCGGGCCCGGGTCGTTTAAATTGGGGGAACCACTGTACTTCATTCCACAGAAAAAGCCCCTTAAAAAAACATTCCAAAGGTGAGGCTGGCTAACAGAAACAGAGAAAAGGGGCAGATAATACCCATGCCCCACCGTTAGTGTTATATTGTCAAAAATTTGGCCCCCCAAAAATTCCCTAATACCCAACTCCCTTTTAATTGCCCTTGTTGAACTAAAACAACCATTTCCCTTTCAAAAGTTTTTAAATTTGTTTTAATTTCTACAAAACCCTATCTCCTTTTTTACAACTTACCACATCACTGTTCCATCTTTTTTTTTTAATAAATTTAACCAAAACCTTGTCTTCAAAAATTTTACCCATTTTAAAAAAATACCAATTCCCCTTTTTTATTCTAAATCCCTATTTTTTCCCCCCAATTTTATTTTAAAACAATATTGACAAACTTATTGAAAAACTTCTTTTACTGACCTTTTTTTATTCCATATTTTTTTAACCCTATTTTTTTTCAACTAAAAAACCTTTTTATACCCATCCTGCAACCCATCTTACAGCAAAATTAAAAACCAAAGTCTTTGCCATTTTTTTTTTTTATCAATTTTTTTTTTTAAAATTATCTTGCTACCTTAATTTGTGAAATTTTTTCCGTTAAAATTTAAATCTAATTAAACTCTAATTCTTTAAAAAACTTATAAAAAACCTTAGTCAATTACAATTGGACCCCCTTGTTCCTTTATTATATTATTAGATTAATCACGTTTTACCTACTCATTCTAGCTCAATACATAGTCAATCCCAAATTCCCTTTTCCGACCTAGTGCAATTATAGTGAGAGATGGTGCTATTTAAAATTTTTTATTTTTATATTTTTAAGACAAAACCCCAAGGTACTTTTAGTTTTTTTTAAAGTCAATACATAGTAAATTTAAACCAAAAATCCTTTTTAAAGACCATAGGAAATTACTAGTGAGGGGACTGGTGCTTTTTTGAAATTTTGATTTTTATTTTATTGACTAAAGTTGTTGTACTATAGCTTTTTCTAGCTAAATACTTAGTCAATCCCAAAAATTCACTATTTTTGGGACCAATTTGCAATTCCCTTTAAAGGGGTTGGGTGCTATTTTTAAATTTTGATTTTTAAATTTTATTAGTTTAAAATTTTTCATTTTGGGTCCCAAAAGTCATTCTACCTCAAGAATAGTAAAATCCAAATTTC